GGGGGGGCAGAGGGGATCGGTTTGGGGGGCAGTGGGGGCGGAGGAGCAAGAGAGGGTCGGAGGCTGGGAATATGCTGGGGGGTGAAGAGGGGATGAGTGCTGGAAGTGTTGCGAAGGAAGGGCGGGAGGGTGGACAGGGGAGGGATGAGGGGAAGGGAAAGTGCGTCGGAGGAAAAGGAAAGAAGGGAGGGCGGAGAATCGCAGAGAGGGAGCAAAGTGCTTCAGCAATGGCGAAAGATATGATCCCCGGAGGCTGGTGCTGTCTCAGGAGGCCCCGGGCTTCAGTGCGATCAGTCGCTGAGGTGCGGGGCTGATTGAAAACAAATAAAAATTAATCAGGCAGAAATTTGTCCCGATCACAACACTTACTTGACTATTTGTTCTATCTTTGTTTCCCTGGGTGCTGGATCGCTCATGAGCTTCCAATGGAGCTCTCGGTTTAATCCTCCGCCTCCTCTCCCTTTCTCACACACCCTCCTTCAGACCAAACAGTGCGCCTGCGCCACTTTAGCCCCGCCCGCCACCAAACTGACCGAACCATTGTTCATCCAGCTCTACACCTTGTTATCTCAGGTTTTCCAGCATCTGCAGTTCCTACCATCTCTGACCGAATCATTCGGTTGACGGAAATGACGTAAGCACGATGGTTGGGCTGGAGTCAGAATCCGAACCCACCCAGGGAGAAAACTAGGCGCGTTGCACCTCGGGATACTGGAAGAGTCTGTCATCGGGTCATCCTGTGAGTGTGCGAGAGTCGCGTTGGTGATGGGAAGAGCGGGTGTGCGGGGTTGACTGTGGTGTGGAAGTGATGATGATGGTGGTGTTGGAGGAAGCGGCTGTTTAATGTCTGTTGGGGAGTTAGCACCAATCCTAGATCAGCCGTTGACCTGGCGGCTGCCTGCTCGATGACAGGCTGAATTTGTGTGATCTCTGCCGGAGGTGGGTCTCTTGAGAGCAGCTAAAGAGTTTTTGTGGCCTTGCCCCATCCTGTTACCTGACAGCAAGGGGACTGACTTTGCTTCCTCTATTTGCTCATGGGGCTGACTCACCACACTGTGCTCTACTTTCTGGTGTAGTTACCAGTTAAACTAACGTAGCTTGATCATTCGCATTCCATCTTGGCAGGTAACAAGTTCCTGTGGTGTGTAATTTGTACAGGTCGCCGATAGTTTGACAGATCTACGTGTGACTAAACAGCCGATAAACTCACGCGTTTTATAAGAATTCCCTTCGCCTCAGTTAAAATCAGATTACTTTCCTGCTATATTTTAAAATATAAGACGAACATTTATTGTTTGACGTTTGCCAGGAGGGCTATGGAAGAGAAGCTGAGATCTGGTTCTGTTAAGTTTTCGGAAGTTTCCAGACATTCCCATCTTCCATTCTCTCTCTTTCCACTTTTTTTTCCATTCTAGAAATTTTCAAATATCTCGGGACGTTTAAGCAATATATGAGGCTCTTTAGTATGACACTTTGTGCTTCTGATAGCCTACTTGATCTGTAGTGAAATTGTGATCAGTTAAGTTTGGACAGTGCAAAATTCCACTTGCGTGAAGTTAGCCATTCCTGCTAGTAAACTGGCACAACCAGAGAATGATCCCTATGATAAACTGAAGGTCTTTCTTGGTTCCTCTGAATTAGCTGAATTTGTACAAACTTTAATCTGACTACACCAACCAATTGGAGCAGAGTTGGGCCATGCTAGAGTGCAAAATCATGGAGTCAAATGCCATCATTTGACAACAAAAAATATTCTTGTGAAAGAATATTCAAACTTTTGAAGTGTGAGAGAGAAAGTGAAGTTAATGCAGCAAGTGAAAAACCAGAGCATGATGTGAAAAGCAGGCATTAACAAGTGGGTGATTGTACTCTTGAGTTTGTCAACAAATCTGAAGCACAAGGCAGACCTCTTCATAGAATCATAAAATCCCTACAGTGTGGGAGCAGGCCATTCAGCCCATCGAGTCCACACTGGCCCTCCGAAGAGCATCCCACCCAGATGCACCCTCTATCCTATCTCGGCATTTCCCACACTAGACACTATGGGCCATTTAGCACGGCCAATCCACCTAACCCACACATCTTTGGACTGTGGGAAGAAACCAAAGCGCCCGGAGGAAACCCACGCAGAAAGGGGGAAAATATGCAAACTCCACATAGACAACTGCCCGAGGTTGGAGTCAAACCTGGGCCCCTGGCGCTGTGAGGCAGCAGTGCTAACCACTGAGCCACTGTGCCGCTTGAAACAGTTTGAAAAGCAGGCATCCTCTCCTGAGAGAAAGAGGAAGAGAATGATTGCTTACCTGGTGATGAGAAATAAAAACCGAAAGAATTGCAGATGCAATGAATCAGGAACAAAAACAAAGTTGCTGGAAAAGCTCAGCAGGTCTGGCAACATCTGTGAAGGAAAAAACAGTTAACGTTTGGGTCCGGTGACTCTTCCTCAGAACTCAGATGATGACGAAGCTTTGCTAAAGTGGTTCAAGGTAGCTCGAGCAAAACTCATTCCCATTTCTGGTCCAGAGGGGAGTCATTGTGTTTTTATTTGTGTTTTTCTGACATCGAGCATGTGTTTGACATAGTCAAAAGTTAGATTGCCTAGAGGCCTCTTCTGCTATCTTGCAGTTCCACTTAACACAAATTTGTCGGTAGCCCCGTAATGATTTGAGTCCTATTGAGGATCACTGTATTTAAAAGTGACAGATTACAAATGTCACAAAATGAACATACATCTTTCGAAACACACACCCTTGATCTGGAAAAACAATAAATGAACTAGTTCTTGTCAATGTCACTCTTGTCCAGTTAGGGGTGGTTTGTTTATGTTGTAAGTGCTGGTTGATTTTGAGATTTGAGATTCTACATATAAAGCAACTTGGTATGAGATGGGCGCAATAAAAGCTACTTGTGGGAAGTAGTAGGAAATCCTTGTTGCTGAATAGCATTTCAGTATGTGGGGCATTGGTTGAGGTTGAACGAATGTTGCATTCTGGAGTGTATAATGCTGAGATGAAGTGTTGGCTGGCCTGCCAATCTGCAGTGCCATATTGTTAATTGACACATACTGCCTGGAAAATGGAATTTCTTTCACAAGTGGATTGGAGTGTAACATGACGCAGTAGATTTCTGTGTATGAGACAGTGTTGAGAAGTGAGTTGATAACTATTGATGGAGTTGAAAGGTAACTCCCAAGGTAACATGAAGTGGGCAGGACAATGGCTCAGTGGATAGCATTGTTGCCTTGCAGCGTCAGGGACCCAAGTTTGTTTCCAGCCTTGGGAAACTGTCTGTGTGGAGTTTGCACATTCTCCCAATGTCTGCCTACGTTTTGTCTGGGTGCTCCGGTTTCCTCCCACGGTCCAAAGATGCGGAGGTTAGGTGGATTGGCCATGCTAAATTGCCCATAGTGTCCAGGTATGTGCAGCTAGGTCAATTAACCATGGGGAATGCAGGGCTACTGATATGTGGTTGGTTGGGGGGGGGTGTTGCTGGATCTGGGTGGGATGCTCTTCGAAGGGTTGGTGTAGATCCAATAGGCCAAATGGCTGCTTTCCCGTTGGAGGTATTCTATGAGATGGAAATGAGAACGGTCACAGAAAAAAAATTACTCAACACTAATAGTCTTTGAAGAGTAATTAGGAGCAGGACACCTGGTTGTTTGTTTCACGCCTCTCCCTAGCCAAAGTGCCTCTGTGTTCCACCTGACCAGCAGAAGAAACAGTTTCCCAGGCATCAAGTGGTATATCTGTATTTCTTAACTACCTTGGCTAACATCAGTTAATTCAGCATGTCTAACTTGTATCTTTTGGCCTGTATGGCTTATTCTTATAACTACTTTAATGCTGAGATATCAAGGATCTGAATAGAATAATAATGTTAAATGTTGGGTTGTAACAGTAGAAACGCCATATTGGCTTAGTACTATGCAGCTGGGGATTCATTAGGAAACAGAGGCTTTGGCAGAATTGTTTTAACAGCTCCCTAAAATCTATTCACTATTTCACTATTCAGTGTGTATGACATTAATCTGCTTACTTCTCATTTGAAGGGGTAGAACAAAGGTTGTAGACTGATTCTATGGATGTGATAGTTGTTGTATGAGAAGAAATTGAGTAGAATGTGCCTATATTTTCTGAAATTTAGAAGAATGAGAAGTGAACTCACTGAAATTAGTTCTTCGAGGTTTAACTGGATAGATGATGAGAATCTGTTTCTCTTTGCTGAAGAGCAAGGCTTACAGCCTTGGAATAAGGATTCGGCTGTTTTGGAATGGTATGAGGAGATGTTTCTTTCCTCATAGGGTTTCCAATCAAGGAATCAGGTACTATGTGGGTAGTGCAGCAAAGGAGCACACTTGGAATATGTTTGGTTCTCTTGCTGTGACATCTTTTATAAGATCATAAAACGTAGGAACAGAAGCAGGACATTCAGCCCATCAAGTCAACTCTGTCATTCAGTGAGATCGTGGCTGATATGGTAATCCTCAACTCCACTTTCCTGTTTTCTTTTCCCCAGTAAATCTTGACTCACTTAAAATCTGTCTATCTCGGCCTTGAATATACTTAACGACCCAGCCTTGACGTTGATTTGTTATTTACTGGTTAATTGTTATTATATCCCTGTTAATATTAATTTTGCAAGTATAACTTATTTTTTGAAGCAATGTTTCATGCTGGACTGTCAAAGATTGCAGATTTTTTTCACGGTTTAACCTGCACTTGACAAATTGTTTAGATCACCTATACATAGAAAGTACCTGAGTAATAGTATAAAAAGAGCAATAGCAATAGTGTCCAGGAGCTTTGCCTCCAGAAATCAGAAGTGAAAGTATATTTGTTTAAGGTTTATTGCATGTGATTTATGTAGTGATAGCTATTGCAGGATCTCACTTTGCTTTTCCTTTTGTCATCCACAGTTACAGAGTGTTTCCAGAATGTTGGAGTCCTATGTGACTCCAATCTTGATGAGCTATGTGAACCGTTACATCAAGAATCTCAAGCCATCTGACCTTCAGCTATCATTATGGGGAGGTGATGCGGTTCTCAGCAAACTAGAACTGAAACTCGATGTACTGGAGCAGGTACAGATTTCATGTCAGACTTCCTTGAGTGAGCATCAATGATGAATGATGTTAATGCCTACTCAACCTGCATAATAAATTTTTGACCATGTGATTGTAGGTATTTTTGAGAATGACTGGTCAATGATGCTACGAGCCCTTAGGTTTCAGAGTTAATGCTCCTTTGATGCATTTGGAAATTCCCTCGATATGGAGGAATGCCTATTCAACAAACCAGTTGATAATTAGTTGATAATTGGTTGACCTTGCAAGTTTGCTCTGCATCTTTGGGCAAAGCCAATTTCAGTTCAGGTCAGCTAAACTGAGCAAATTAAAGAAAAGGTATTCTGTTTTCAGTTATTGGTGGCTAGATTTAAAGTGTGGCAAATGTTCATCCCTTTAACAACTTTCCTGATTGACTTTTAGAACAATGCATGTCGAGGGGGTATTGTGAAATTGTACATTTTTCTTTTTTAAAGATAGTAGCACAGAATCTGTCTTTCTGCAAGGAATTTACAATTCTGTACAATTCATGCTACTTGAGGAGCTAGCCCTCTTTATGGCTGTGTTGGCTTCAGACCAATTAACTTAGTTATTCATTATCCAGTTTAAAGATTATTCCTGAACATTGCATTATTCTAGATGCATTTGGTATAAATTGAAACATTCCTGTTGGAGCCATAAGTTAAAATGGCCTTGATCTTGTACTCAGCAGTGAAGTGGAGGTGCGTATTGCTAATTGCATGAGAAAACACCACCTAACTTGGTTGTAGGCTGCAGTGGGAACTTACTGTCTTGGTGAAACCATGCATTCTCTGACATCATGAGCTGAAGAATTGGACTTTGAAGTCTATCTTACAGTCTTTGAAGTAAAGGCCCATCTGCAGACCTTTGCTAAGTGTTTCTTGATATCATTCTATTGTTCTTTGTTGATTCAGTGTTCATCACAGTTCTTGTCCTCCTACAAACAACCTTGTCCCGCTATTTTTTTGTTCCTATATTCATTTATGGGTTGAGGGCGTCGTTGGCTAGGCAGCATTTATTGCCCCTCCCTAATTGCCCAGAGGGCAGTTCAGAATCAACCACATTGCTGTGGGTCTGGAATCACACGTAGGCCAGACCAGGCAAGGATAGCAGTTTCCTTCCCTAAAGCACATTAGTGAACCAGATGGGTTTTTCCAACAATCGACAATGGATTCATAGTCATCATTAGATTCTTAATTCATTGAATTCAAATTCCCCCATCTGCTGTGGCGAGATTCGGACCCGAGCCCCAGAATGTTATCCGGGTCTCTGGATTAACAATTCAGCAATAATACCACTAGGCCATCGCCTCCCCTTTTACTCTCTGATATTGGTGGGACTGAGAAGCTGGGTTGGGTGCAGCTGGGTGTGTGAGGGGAAGAGGGATGTTGGAGGAACTGGAAGATGTTCACATTTCTGTTGATTTAAAAGGCTGTGATTATTGAGTCATAGAGTTGTAAAGCACGGAAACAGACCCTTTCGTCCAACTCATCCATAATGACCAGCTATCCTAAATTAATCTAGTCCCATTTGCCAGCATTTGACCCATATCACTGTTAAACTCTTCCTTTTCATGTACCCTTCCAGATGCCTTTTAAGTGTTGTTATTGTACCAGCCTTCACCAATCTGTTACCCACCTTAACCAATGACCTGTACAACTACAATGTGACCTCCCAACCCCTATACTCAATGTACTGAGTGTACCAACTGTCTTTACGTTTAGTGGGAGCAACCTTAAATTAATCAACATTAACACTTGGTAGGAGTAGGGAAACCATTGGTGCTGGGGGAAATTATTCACAAGTCCTGGTGAAAGCATCAGTGTTAGTTTTCTTGGTGCCTATTCAGGCACACCAACGCTTCTAGATTTGAGTGTAAATGAGCCCTCCAGAAGTTGTGGTAATGTTGCGGGCCTCATATTTGCAGAAGTTGCTGTAATTGAGGCATTATGTTTCTCACTTGTTTGAAGGCTTGACATGATGCACTGCCCACGGTAGTAAGATAACGCTGCACAGTAATTGACAGAGCCTTGTTTCATTTGATCAGCTGGTCATTGACCCTCCTTTTTTGTTCTCCTTTGTTTTCAGATCTCCCCTTTGACACAAATATTTCCTTCTGACACAGAAAGTAGGAACAGAAGTAGGCCATTGGGCCCTTTGAGCCTAATCTTGGCTGATCATCAAATTCCATACCCTGTTCCAACTATCTACTTATACCATTTGATCCTTTTAGTCCAAAGAACCATAGCTGACTCCTTATTGAAACATTCAATGTTTTGGCCTCAACCACTTTCTGAGGCAGAGAGTGAAGAAATTTCTCCTTATCTCAGTTGATAGTGGCCTATCCCATATCCTTAAACTGTGACCCTGGTTCTGGATGCCCCTATCATTGGGAACATTTTTACTGCTTTTAACCTGTTAATTCTGTTAAAATTTTATAGGTTTCTGTGATGTTGCCCTCATTCTTCTAAATGCCAGTGAATACAGTCTTAGCCAATCCAGTCTCTCGCCACATGCCAGTCCTCTTGTCCTAGGTATCAGTCTCGCACAGCTTCATTGTACTCTGTCCATCGTCAGAACATCGTTCTTAAGATAAGGAGACCAGAAACCACAATACTCTAGGTGTGGTCACACCAAGGCTCTCTAGAATTGCAGCAATATACCCCTTCTACTATATTTGAATTCTCTCATTATAAAGACCAACATACTATTTACCTTCTTCACCAATTGCTGCACCTGCTTACTTTCAGCAATTGGTCTACAAAGACACGAAGATTTTGTTGCATGTCATTCTTTCCCAATCTATTGCCATTCAGATAATCTGCCTTCCTGTTTTTGCTACCAAAGTGGACAATCTCATATTTATCCACATGTTACTTTATCTGCTATGTATTTGCCCACTCACTGATGCATCTTTGTATACTCCTCATAGTTCACCCTCTCACCCAGTTTTGTGCTGTCTGCAAACTTGGAGATATTACATTTAGTTCCCCCACCTAAATCATCAGCATATATAGCGAATTGCTGAGGTCCAAGCACTGATCCTTCTGGTACCTCACTAGTCACTGGCTACCACTTGGAAGAAAATCTATTTATTCCTATTATATGTTTCCTGCCTGCCAACCAGTTCACTACCCGTAACAGTACACTATCTCCGAACTCATGGACTTCAATTTTGCATGCTAGTTTCTTATGTGTGAACTTATTGAAAGCCTTCTGAAAGTCCAAGTAAACCACATCCACTGACTCCCCCTTATCAACTCTACGTTACATTCTTGAAAAGTTTCAGTAGCTTTGTTAAGCGTGATTTTGCATTCCTAAACCCATGCTGAAACTATCTGATCCTGTTACTGTATTCCAGTGCTTTGCTGTTAAATCTTCTGCAATGAACTCAAGAATATTTCCTACGACCAATGTCAGGCTAACAGGAGTATAATTCCTTTTATGAGTAATGGGTTACATTAGCCACCCTCCAATCCATAGGGATCCTTCCGAAGTCTGTAGAATCTTGAAAGTTGACCACTATTTTTAGGGCCACTTCCGTAAGTACTCTAGAAAGCAGATTATTGGGCTCTGGGGATTTATTGGCCTTTAATCCCATCAATTTCCCCAACTCTATTTCCCTACTAATATATAATACAATAAAATATTGATTTCCCTCAGTTTCTCCCTCTCACTAGACAATGTGTTTTCCAACATTTTGGGACATTATTGGTGTTTCTCCTTTACAAAGACAGAACCAAAATATGAATTTACTTGGTCTGCCATCCCTTTGTTCCCCATTATACTTCCCCCTGTATCTGACTGTAAGGGATTTGCATTTGTTTTATATAATTGTTTTTCTTTTCACATATCGTTCACGATTCGTGTGTATGTTCCTGGTGGCTTACTCTCATTCTATTTTCCACCTCTTTATCCTCCTTTGCTGAAACCTTAGCTGCTCCCAATACTCAGATCTGCTGCTTTCTTTGACTAATTTGTATGCCCCATTCTCAGATCTAATACTATCCCTAATTCCCCTTGTTAGCCATTGTTGGCCACCTTTCCCATTTTATTTTAACTTTATCCCACCTGATTCTGCATTTTCTTCCAATTTTCGCTGACTCTCTAGTGTTTGAGTCACTTCTGGCCGAACCCACAATTCCTTTAGTTGAACCATTGACATAATCCTGGGTGCCTGTGAGGCATGTGGAATGATTGTCCAAATGTAATCTTGCTGCCTTAGTTTAAAGTCCAAGGGACTGACCTTCACACCTCACTCATTAGAAGTTAATCTCTCTGCCACCTTTTCAGTCTGCACTGCCACTGCTCCAGCCCTATTAGAAGTTCACTAACTTATGACCCCTCTGTATGGTTTTGAGCAAAAAAAAACTTTACTGTAAAAAATTAGAACTGTAATGCAATCTGCAATTTATGCAACTTGTAGCTAACATTCAGAGTTAACTTGAGGTAAATATGGGTAACAGACAAAATGTTGATTAATATGCCATGGAGCACATGAAATAACAAATGTGGTCAAGACAGATCCCATGCATTTGTCAGCAATCCCCGTCCAGACATTAGCAATATGTGGGTCATCAAATCTCCTTACATTTTCTAAATCCTCTTTTGAAGACCTAGCTTTGGAATTCCTTCGAACCGCTTCATTATGGACTGCCTCAATGACTGTGTACATTCTGGTAGTTCACTGTCCCTGTGGGCCTGTGCTCCCTTGGATCTGGAAACTGCAACTTTCAGACACAATATCAGCTTGTGTGCAGGCCACTAGCTTCACTGCACTCCCCCCGCTCCCCCCAAAAATAAAATTTTCGATGAGCAGGAATCTTGTTCAATTGCGTCTAAAAAATACTGCTAGAAACTCCAGAAGAGTCGTGCTAAACTTGAAATGTGAACTATATTTCTCTCCACAGAGTGGAGACCTGCGGAGTTTCTCCAGCATTTTCTATATTTGTTTAATATTCCTTTGTGCTAGGTATGAACCCAGCCAGTAGAGAGTTTTTCCTTGTTGATCATTGATTCCAGTTTTGCAACAGTTTCTTGATGCCATACTCCATCAAATGCAGTCTTGGTGTCAAGGGCACTCATTTTCCCTTGCCATTTGGGAATCAGTTCCTTTATTCCATGCCTGGACCAAAGTTGTATGAGGTCAGGAGCTGGGTGGCCTGGTTGTACAGGACATTGATAAAGCCATTTTTGAAGGACTGTGTACAGTTCTAGTCACCCTGCTATAGGAAGGGTATTATTAAATTGGGGAGGGTTCAGAAAAGATTTACCAGGATATTACCGGAACTGGAGGGCTTGAGTTATAAGGAAAGGCTGGAGAGGCTCGGACTTTTTTCACTGGAGCATAGGATGTTGAGGGATGGGATTACAGAGGTTCATAAAATCATGAGGGGCATAGATAAGGTGAATAAGAAAGAATATTTCCCTCGGGTTGGTGAGTTCAAAACTAGGGGTAATATTTTTCTGGTGAAAAGAGAAAGATTTAAAAGGGACCTGAAGGGCAACTTTTTCACATTGAGGGTTCCTATGTGAAATGAACTGCCAGAAGAAGTGGTAAATGCAGGTACAGTTACAACATTTAAAAGACATTGAATAGGTACATGAATAGAAAAGGTTTACAGGGATATGAGCCAAATGCAGGAAAGTGGGACTAGTTTAGTTTGGGACACTTGGTTGCCATGGACGAGTTGGACCGAAGGATCTGTTTCTGTGCTGTTAGGCTCTATGATTCTAAGTGTCAGTAAGCAGGTTATTTCTGAGCAAACTTCCACACAATGAACACATTATTTCTCAGTAAACATCATAGTGAGTTTAATTTTAATCTTATTGTTATTTTCAGGAGCTAAAATTGCCATTCACTTTCTTGAGTGGACACATTCATGAGTTAAGGATTCATGTGCCATGGACGAAGTTGGGCTCTGAACCTGTTGTTATTACCATAAACACTATGGAATGTATCCTGAAGCTTAAGGATGACGTACATGTGAGTTAACTTTGGTTATTTGTTTTTGTTGATGTCTGCAGCTTATCAAAACATGTAAAAATTCTTGTAACTCCTGAACTCTTTGAGAGGAAATTGTGTTTTGTGTGTGGTGGCAGTTTGAAGTCTAATTTGTATGTATGGATAGGAATCAGGAACTGCCTTCAATGAAGGTCGACTTTAGGAAGATGTGATAAATCAAAGAGCTAAGGGAAGGCTGGAAGGAAAACATCAACATTGGAAATGATGAACAGGCAATGACAATATGAGATAGAGACCATAAATCTTAAGTGTAAATCAACAGGTGAGGCCAGAGATTACAAAAATTGGACAAAATTAAAGGCTCTGTATCTGAATACACATCACATTTGAAACAAAACTCATGAAGTTAACGCATAATTTGGTAGCCATTATAGAGATGTGGCTGGAGGATGACATTCAATATTGAACAGTACATGATATTCAAGAATGATGAGAAGCTCGGAATAGATGGAGAATAGCTTTGTTAATTAATAATAATATTAATACATTGGAGAGGGAAACCATGATGCGGAAATGGTTTGGGTAGAGATGCAAAGTGATAAACAAAAAGAATCTCTTTTGGGAGTACTGTGTATGACAGTTATCACATGATAGGATGGAGATGGAGAAATCATGGGAGCTTGAATTAAGATATGGTGATGATCATGGAGGTTTTTAATCGGCACACAGACTGGTAAAATGAGATAGGCAAAAGTGGCCTATTTGAGGAATTCATCATGTTTTTGAGAGATTTTCTTAGCACGGTGCATTCTGGAGATGAGCAGAGAACAAGCTGCACTGGACCTGGCTTTGTGCAGTGTGGTAGGATTAATTAATGATCTCACAGTGAAGGCACCCTAAGTAACAGTAATCTAATTATAATTCTGTTTTGTTTAGTTTGAGGAAAAGGTCCAAGATTCATATTTTAAACTTAAATAGTTTAAACATAATTAGGTTATTTTCTGGTTAGCAAGATGTGGTGAATAGTGCTGGTCCCTCAACCTTTTGCAAGTTAAGGTAATGACTTGGATGAAAGGTCAGAAGGTATGCTTGCTAAATTTACTGCCAACAAAACTAGGTTGGAAAGAAAATTGGGAAGAGGGCATATGGAGGCCTCAAAGGCGTAAAGATAGGTGAAGTGAGTTGGCAAATGAAGTATAATAAGGGAAAATGTAAAATTGTCAATTTTGGCAGGAAGAGTTAAAAAGAAGCATAAACAGATATTGCTGGAGAAACCCATCAGGCCTGGCAGCATTTGTGGAGAGAAAGCAGAGTTCATTTTTCTTGTTCTGAAGAAGGGTCAGTGGATTTGAATTGTTAACCAGTTCTGAGGAAGGGTCACTGGACCCGAAACGTTAACTCTGTTTTCTCCTCCACAGATGCTGCCAGACCTGCTGAGCTTTTCCAGAAACTTTGTTTTTGTTCCTGATTTACAGCATCTGCAGTTCTTTTGGTTTTTATTTTGTTAACTTTGCTTTCTCTCTATAGATGCTACAGAGCTGCTGAGTTTCTCCAGCAATTTCTTCAGATCTTCAGCATCTGCAGTTCTTTGTTTTATTTTAAACAAAGCATGTTTTCTAAAGGGTGAGAGTTTGCAGAGCTCTGAAATGCAGAGGGTTCTGGGTGTTCTAGTGCAATGATAGCTTAAAAGTTATTATAGAGATATAGCCCATAATTAGGAAAGCTAATACAAATCATTGTCAGGAGAATTTAATTTCAGAGGTGATGCTTTGTTTATACAGGGCATTGATGAGATCACATCCACAGTATTGTGTACAGTATTGGTATCCTTATTTGAGCAGGGAGCTACATGCGTTGGAAGCCATTCACAGAAGGTCTTGACAGGGTATTTGTGTACTATTGTGAGAGAATATATAACAGGGTCACTTTTTAAAAATAAAAGACTCATTTAAACTACACAGGAAAAAACTTTTTATCTTAGGGATGAGTCCTTGGAAGTCACTTTGTTGAAAGACAATGGAAGAAGAAGCTTTGAGCATTTTAAAAGTAGAAGCAGATACTTTATAAGCAAGAGGTTGAAAGGCTTTTGGGGCTATGTGGGAATGTAGCGTAATCAGAAAAATGATGCCCTTATTGAATGCTGGTGTGGGCTTGAGGGCTGAGTGGTGTCTTCTTGCTCCTAATTCGTATGTTTGTATGCTTATATACCATAATTTCAGAGGGCAGAATAGGGTAGTATCAATGGACAAAACATATCAGAATGTTTCTGAATTAAAATTGAAATGCAAGTTGAAAAGCAGTACTAGGACGACTTTTTTTAATAGAATGGGCAGGAAACCGGTTGATGGAACTTGATATGGGGACGTGGGAGAGCATTTAGTTGTGAGCTTAGGATGGAGTGTAGTCGCCTTGGAGAAAGGTGTTTGAGGTGAGATTTGAGAATGGTGAATAAGACAGTGAAGGACCTGGATTTGATAGATGTCGAAAAACACTTTCTGTTAGCTAATAGTATAGTGTCTGAGGGCACAACTTTAAGGTTTTAGGATGAGATGCAGAGGAATAGCTGGAATTCCTTTTATATGCAGCTAGTGGTTATTATCTGGAACTCGCTGCTGGTGATGGCAGTGGAAGTTGAGAAAGAAATTAGATAGGCACTTAAAGGAAATAAATTTACAGGGCTATAGGAACTGAGCAGAGTGTGGAACTTGATAGATTATAGGTCTGATCCTTTAATTATGGATAGCAATGGAAGAAAAAATATGTAGATGAAATATGGAGATAAGTAGGAATACTGTTTTAAAATGATTGCAATAGTAGATTTTAGTGACTACTGGATATCCCAAAGTGTTTTCAACAAAATAGAATTTGAAGTTGCAGCAATGTGGGAAAAATGTTGATCAATCTTTGTACAACACGTACACACACAGTTGCAATGTGATACCAACCAGATAACCTGTTTGTGTCATGCTGATTTTAAAAATAACTTCAATGGGGTAAAAGCCTTGATGACCATCCAGCATTTGTTGCCAATCCCAATTTGTCCTTGACTGAATGGTTTGCTTGACCATTTTAGAGGGCAGTTAAAAGTCGCCAACATTCCTGTCGGTCTGGATGTATTCGTCTGTAGGCCAGACCAGATAAGGATGGCAGATTCTTTCCCCCTAAAATACTTCAGTGAGCAAATCAATTTTTATGAATAATATAAAACAAAGAACTGCATATGCTGGAGATCTGAAACAAAAACAGAAATTGCAGTGGAAACTCAGCAAATCTGGCAGTATCTGTGGGAAGAAAGCAGGATTAATGCTTCAAGTCTGGTGATTCTTCATTCGAACAGAGTTTTATGAAAATTGATGTTAGTTTCATGGCTCACATCAGAGACCAGCTTTCAGTTCCAGATATTATCAGTTGAATTTGAATTGCACCAGGAGGTATGATTTGAATTTGAACCCTTTTCCTCACCATTAGTCTGGGCCTCTGGGTTTCTAGGCCAATGACATTCCACCACCATCCTCCATGCCATGTGAGAGGATACAATCAAAAAGTGGAGCCAGTTAGCAATGTGGTAGCTTCTCAAGAGTTGATTGAAGTGGGTAATGATGATGCACTGAATTATCTCCTGGACTCCAGTTTAGTGTCTGTGTCAATGATACTAAAAAAGGAAGCGTAGAAATATTTCTCAGGCCTGTAGTGATTGTAACAAGGTCAGTCAGGTGGACCTCATAGAATATGAGTTCCCTGTTTGGGGCTTTTATCTGGTTCAATCAGGGAGCCTTGGCTGACAGATTATAACAGGAATGTTAGACATCCTGTTCACTCTAAGAGATGGCCCTGAGAGAGCTGGATCAGTGTCAAGGATTCTGCGCTTGTACGTAAAGGGTGCCTTGCTGACGCGATACTGGTTTCTGTGGAGGTATTTCAACACCTGTAATAGGTGCAGGATATAAATTAGTTGGTGGCAAAAAAGTGGCAGATAAAATTCACTTTCATCAAACGTGAGGCAGTAGATTTTGGTTAACCAAGGTAATTACTCTTTCAATTGTTGCAAGAAGGGTGATATGGGTGAGAAGTGGGAATTGAGAGATCAAATTCACAAGGCTTCCAAAGCAGTGAGTTGATGATATCTCATGACACACTGGATTCTTTGGCAAGAGGTATGGGATATTTTGGATAAGAGATAACGTTGAATCCACTGTGTGTAACATTTTCAATAAGACCAAAGTTGGAGCTGAATTATGCTGTACACTGTGTTTGTAAAGGTTATATGAATGAAGTTGGGACTGAACCAGAGACAATGTTAGCATTTATGTCTCCATTCTAGTTGACGGATTGATATTGGAATGGGGCAGAAACATGCAATTCAATTTGTTTTTTTTCTTTATTCTTTTGTGAGATGAGGACGTGACTGACTGGGCAGCATTCGTTGCCCATCCCTAATTGCCCAGAGGACAGTTCAGAGTCAGCCACATTGCTATGGGTCTGGAGTCACATGTAGGCCAGACCAGGTAAGGATGGCAGTTTCCTTCCCTAAAGGGCATTAGTGAACCAGATGGGTTTTTCCTGACAATCGACAATGTATTCATGGTCATCATTAGTCTGTTAGTTCCAGATATTTTTTATTGAATTCAAATTCCACCATCTGCCGTGGTGGGATTTGAACTTGGATCCCCAGAACTGTATCTGGGTCTCTGGATTAACAGTCCAGTGATAATACCACAAGGCCATTGCCTCCCTCTCTTGTTTGTGTGTAAGATAAATATCAAAATGGACTGGCTGAACTAAATGACTGGTTGCTATGTTGTAATTTCTTATTGTTCTCTCCAATTCTATTTAATTTCCAACAGCAGGCATGATTACAGTGTTAGAAATAGTTACAGAAAAAAATAAAGCAATATGGTAATGAGCTCCAGTTTTGAAGAATTTGTAGGAAAGAAATATTCCCTGAACTAGAAATTTCAGCATTAACTCATGACTTTGATGGTCAAAATGGGAAAATATTTTGAAATATGCCTCTTACCCCA